AGTCAGATTTAGCCCTGAGTGAAATAATAAATAGTAAAAGTCACTTCTAAAGCTTTGCTGAATGCCTGAAAAATCTCTGCCACTCGCCATCCTGTTCATTTCATGACAAATGCAAAAGCATCATTGTCATCAGGTCCTGCGATATAAAAGGCCTTAACGCGACGTGAATGAGACGGCTAAGCTAGATTCTCTCATTGATTTCTCTATATTTCTACACTGTAATGACAAGGCACAGGGTTGCCCTCCACAGGTAGAAAACTGACATAACAGGAATTAAAAGGTTACATTCTTGACAAATACTTTGCCTGCAAAGTTACCAAAACCCACCGGGTTTTGGGACTCACTTGCACCCTCGACAACTTGCGGAGGACGAACGTTACCCTAACATTTTCTTTTTGCCTCAGTTACTTCCTTCACCTCTCTACTTGGATTTCTCCCTCGCCTCCTCTTCCCTCCCCCCCCCCCCACCAACCTCCTGCCGCAGCTCAAAGTTATTGATAGTTTAAAGTTATGGACTAATAATAAGATGGACACTGCATGGCCAAGAGCCTATTATACCCCAGGTAATGGATAGTGAGGGGGTTTTGAATGACATTGCCCAGAGATTGGATGACAAAGGGTGGAGCGATTTATGGCCGACGCAAAGAGCCCCCCCACCCCCCCCCCGCCGCCGTCCATCTTCCCTCGCACACGCAGCCGCCCCGTGCTATTTATCTCTAGCTTGATAAAGAAGCAGATGAGGCATGCCGATATTTATGGTGAAGATCTTCATAAAAACTATCGGCTCAGTTTAAAAAGTTAGACTCGACCCGGAGGGACAGCAAATCAACTCAAAACTCTCTGTGCACCTTTTTCATGTTGTCTAAGGCAAACTACACACATTATTTGGCCTCTTTCTGATAAAAAGTCTCTTTTGGTTTGTTAATCTTACCGCAGTACACGCGGGAATATCATGAAAATAATACCCAATCTCTAGTTAACTACAGATGCAAATGAAGTGAAGAAACAAAGCAAGCCTGGTGTCTTCTTGTTTTGTCAATTCCAAACATTTAACAACTTTAAAAACTCCTGTGATGGAGTGGTGATGAGGTTTAAGAGATACAAGTACTTCCTAGATGTTACGGCACAGAGACTGAGCATCATGTGCCGTTTGTTAATGGAAAACCAGGAACAATCAAAAGCCCTGGTTGCAGAGGTCAGCGCAGCAGAGACGTCTACCGTGTATTGGCTCAAAGCGGCCTGCTCGGGTCTCTATTTAGAGAAGCAACAACAAAAGCAGAGGCACTTCAGACGCTGCTGTCGGGACAGAGGGCGAAGGGGAGAGGGACGGGCATGAGGGAGTGCAATGGAAAAGGCTTGTCAACATTATCTGCTTTATTGATTTAACAGTAAAGACTTGCCGCTTAAGCTTTATGTTGCTGCGGCTGGCCCCCTGGAAAATACAACAGCTTGCAAATAAACAAAAAAAAACAATTTCCTAAAAAACTTGAGCATTTTTATTTTCATCTCCTGCCTAACAGCTCAGGTTTTGGCAAGCATTATAGTTACCGGTTCACACATTTCATCATGTTCATGAGTAGCCACGAAGAGTGGACCATGTGCAACTCTGCTCACTGTCTAAAAGAGATCGATAGCATTAAAAGAGGGAAACACCGTCGTCTACAGGGCCAACGGATGGGAATAGTAATGAGAAGTCTAATGCTGACAATGCTAGCAGGTTGATGTTGAGTTGCTACAATGTTTTTCACATTCATTAAATACGTTACCATGCCAACACGGCTAAGTAATGGGACCAGATGGCCGCACTAAATGGAAGGTTACAGCATCAAGATGTGTACAATTCATCCTAGGGGAACCATGAATGTCGGTGTTAAATATCAGAGCAATCCGTCTCATGGTTGTGGATTCGTTTAAAAATAATGTCAACGTCATCGATTCATTAATTCAGTGCAAACCTGTGGGAGAATTAATCTCAGACCAAGAACAGCAGGTTTTCTCAAATTACGAGGCAAGAACGGGCAAAAGGCACCACTAGCTTTTTTACATGGAAGTAAGCGGGGCCCCTGGAACTTTGAGGCCCTGGGCCTGTGCTGCAGGCCTCACCAGTAATCCATTGATTTTCTGGGTCAAAGTCTTTGATCAATGCAAAAGATTGAAAGATGCGCAAAATAACCTTGATTATGATTATTCCTCTTGGCAAGGTGCCGTAACGTAGGAATTTGCATTTTACATTACGATTCAATTTGAAAAAGGAATTTGTGTAGCTGTAACTAGAAGCCCTTCTATCAGCATTGATGCTGAACAGGGCGAACGAAAAGCAGACAATGTCATCAAAAGGGGAATGGGAGGAGGGGGGGTGGGGGGTTCTCCCAATCAAAGGACTTTTTCATTTCAATTTTTGATTTTTCCCTGTGCTGATGTGAGGGTTTCGACACAGACGTTGTTGCATGTGCACAGACTGTAAAGCCCTCTGAGGCAAATTTGTAAATTGCAATTTTGGGCTGTACAAAATAAGAATAATTGAATGTCGCTTTCCTGCCCATTTTAATGAATGAACAGAAACAACGCCAGAGCAAAGAGCACATAACCTAAAATTGTATAGAAATTCCCCCGAGAAGACACTACACCCCATGCGGACAGGAGAGCAGTGGGGTCAACAGAATGTGTCCCCGGAGCAGCGTGGGGCCTTTGTGTTCTGACCTGTTGAGGCGTAAAGAAACATTTACGTGGCCCTTTAGACCAAAGCAGCTGCTCGGGCCTCCTACAGCTACCCGAAAGCCCCGTCAACACACTCAAGAAACACACCAGAGGATCTGTGGTTTCTTTGTTGTGGAATCTATCTGAATTTGATTGTGTCCTGCGCAGCATGCATGACCAAAGGATCAAATAAGCAAAGTGTAATTACATGCAAAAGAGGACGCACAAGGCAAGATGAGCTCGAACTTGTTGAAGGCTCACAGACGGACGGACTAGCAGACAGGTAACAGACCAAGACAGGTAATAAAATAGGCGTACAGCTGGACAGCTGAGCAAACGGAGAGCGACAAACAAATATAACAGGATAGAAATCCATACGTGTTGACATGTGAAGTCGAATAATAAGTATTACTGTCGACATGGAAAAAAATATAATTAGATATGAGGGGGAAACTATTGACAAAACTATTTATGGCAACCAAGGGGCCATGCTTAGTGATCGGACTGCAGCTAAAACCTCGATCGATTTTCTCCTTAAATATACAGCTCAATTAAAGATACAGCTGATTAAAAGACGAGTACGAATCGCAGCGGCGGATTTGGACTTCCTGCCGCAGTCAGAGAATTGCGTGATTTCCTCCTCACCTCCTCCTTCATCACTGCAGTGCAGGGGGAAAAATAAGCGACAAAGGTTTTATTCTTTTTCCATGTGAAAACCAATATTTCACAATTTTTAAGTAAAGATATGTTGGCCACAGATATATTGCTCTTGGCAGAATTTGTTCGAATTTTAATATGTACTACGTATCTACAGAGTGGTTGAAAATATTCCATTCTCAAAACTTTTGACAAAACAACCCATTGAATTTCAGCACTAAAAGCATAAAATCAACGCTGACGGGGCATAAACAACAACAATAATGGTGACCTCTAAGTACATAAAGCAAAAATAATCAAACGAACAACGACAATTCAACTTGCCTTGTTAAAAACGAAGCACCTGCTTAACACAAGTCAGACCAAGGCTCATTTTCCCCTCTCTGCTTCAGCCTTGTCACTGACAAATAAAAACCTTGACAGTTTGTGTGCCCTCGCCACCAGAGAAGGGAGGAATGTATAATGGAAAACCTTTCTGTTCCTCATTGAAGGAAAAATACCGCGGTTTACAGTTTGTAAAGTGTTTGAGTTTATTTGATGTTCCTTACACATTTTAGATGTGGCATTATTAAGTCTGATATTTTTCTTCTGTATTACAGATGGATCGCTGATGAATTCACGGTGTACTTTTGGTACCAGAATAGTGCTCCATCTGATGCATAGTTAAATGCTGGTATTTTAAAAGACCGTATTTTTACAGTAATGAAGAATATTAACATTTGCAAAGTAATCCTGCGGTTGCAGTTTCCTCTTTGTTTGTGTATGTATTCAAATACATTAAAAAAGGATGCTCCAATCCTGCATTTAATGAATTTCGGTATTGATGCAACCCTGATGTTAACATTTGGATCACAGATTAGCAGCTGACAATTGGCTGCCCGCGCAGCACATGCGGCCTGCCTGAGCTTCCCGTCCGGCTGGCGGAGTAATAATGACATCACCGCAACCGTTGCAGGTGCAGCCTCTGGAGAGTCTGTTTGCGCCTACAACTTGCACATGTGGAGCACGAATTTTTGAGGGCGAGTCAAAGCAGGAAATTCGTTCGCAGCAAACCAGTGGTTGTCAGCTGCAGCGCGGCAGTTGGCAGAGCAAAGGGCGGCCGGGTCGAGCTCAGCAACAATTTGTGTCGAATTTTATTCCGACACTTTTCAAGCGAAGTCGGGTGCGTCTGCGGATGCACTTCAAACATTTCATTTAAGATGGCAAGCGAAAGAAAAACAAGCAATGTGCTTGCGTTGCAGCGTTCAGGCTGATCCACATGAGCTATGCTCCAAGTGTCCTGCTACAACGTGCATTCACGTGTTTATTCTAGTCAGTCTCTAAAAACTACTGCAAGCTGCAGTTCAGGGATTACGGGACTGCATTCAGCTATTATGTTTCCATAAATACAGATCCTACCCTGAGAACATCTGAGAACATTTTCTATTCATAATCATGGACATCCCTTTTAGGAATCTGTTCACACCGATAAGAGGCAAAAACCAAAAGCACCATATTTTTTCATTTTCAATTCATTTTGTCTTCATATGACCATTAAGGGTTGTTGTCTTTGAAGAGGTTTTAAACCTTTTTTGCAAAACCTCACTTCCTAAATAATCCTATTTGTCATTGAATAATGCCCATTGATTGTGTGTGTGTTTGTGTACCTGCATGGAGTTGAGGAGGATGAAGATGTATGCCATGACTATAGAGAAAGGCACCAAGACACCACACAGCCATGTCAATCCCAGGATGGGCAACAACACCAGCACTGCTTTCACTGCTGCCCTGTGATGTGATCACATGATAACATACACACATGTTAGAATACACACACAAATTCACACGCATATGTAAACGCATTATGGAGCACAGACTGAACTGCTCGTCTGAGCTAAATTTACTGCACACCAGATGAAATTAATTGTAATAGTAATTCCAAAATTTGACTTGCTCCCTAAGCTTCCTAAACTCACTTTTCACTTTTTCAGGACAAAACCGAGAGGCTTTGGCAGGCGGGTTGTTCCATATACAACACCGTGCGGCTGGAAAAGCTCACGGGGTGACAACTTCCCACCTTAAATCCACCTTAATTCTGTTTAGAGTTTAATTATCTTCCCGCTCAGGTGACCGCCAAACCGCACCAGCTGTGTGTGTGTGTGCTTTCGTGTGCGTGTGACACGGCGGGCTGCAAGCCCTAGTTTATTCAGCGGAGGAATGTGTTTGAGTTTCCGAGAGGGCTGCCACCCAGGGGTGCCAAGGGTTCAAGGGCTGCTTTGAGAACTTTCATAAAGCACCTACTGTGAGCCCCGGTGGGCTGAGGTAGTGAGAAAATAGACACACTTCAACACGATTTTCACTGATCTTAAACCAGCCTGCGAGGGGAAATCTACTGGATCACTGCGATGAGCGAACACCAGTGTGAAGAAAAGAAACACGTTGGCAAAGGAGGTTTCTTGTTCTTGCTGTAACACTGCAATGCAAATGTTTAACAAAAGTTCAATGTTTTTTCTTATCTCAATTATTTTTGTATCCCATCAACATTGAATTATACTAGAACACTAAGTTTTGATATATTTAAAACATATAGTGGTTGAAGTTTGAAGCCTTGTATATAAATACCATTAATGCTCTCCATTCCTATTCAGTTCAATGAAGGACTTTATAGTGGACAAATCCACTATAAAATCTTCCAGCTGGATTTTTATTTGACGACCAGTGACTAAAGCTCGTCTGCATCGGGGCAATGAACAACAAAGAAGAGGACAAGTAGTGCCACCTTGTGGGCTGTACCTGATTCGCTCATAGGCTTGATCCACGGGACTGGTGCCCATTGCCAACATGATGGACCTTCTCCTGGCCGTGGACATGGTGATGATCACCACCCTGCTCAGTACCATGACGTTCACCTGGAAAAAGGGGAGGGGAAAGAAAGACTACATGACGGATGTGCGGATGAGAGACCAAAATAAGAAAGCGAAGGACGTGTACTGTGGGATCTGAGATTAAGGTAGAGAAAAGAGTGAAGAAATAGAGACACTTGACAGTAAACAACAACGTTGTGCAACATTGATTGAAATGTCATCCGGTTTCTTGTTGAATTGGTAACTTTGGCTCCCAGTCAAACATGAAGTGAAGCAGTTCACAATGGCTGAATGCAACTTGGATTCCATATTTTAGCCTTTTCCAGCCTGTACCGACTACGTGGTATTGAGGTTTGGGAGATATGTGTTATCTCAATAACATGAAGGTTTAGCATGTTTCTGGTTATTCATAATGAAGTCATTTCTACATCAAATGTCCGCATGGCATTGGATACATTGTAGATATAGTAAAGAGTATTTGCTCATTAACATCTGAGTCAATATGTGCTTGTTCTTATCCCTTTATCACAATATCTCGAAATACGATTTAATCCCGATATGATTCCATTGAAAGACAATAAATTAGGATATCGAGTTATTGACCAGCCCTACGTGGTATGATTAGGATTGAGTTCTCTCACCATGATGATGAAGATGACAGGCCCGGTAAAGCCCCAGATGACGCCGTTTTGGACACTGAGCCAACAGTAGTTGTCGGCTGAGTATTTGCCGGAGGCTGATGCCAACGTGATGGTGACTATCAGCACTGGCAGACCTGGAGGGGAAGGGGGGCACGTAAAAGACCAAAAGAGAGAAGTGTGCATGAGAAAATGAACGTAGCGGGACTTGAATAATCAGGGAGAGGAAGAGATACGAGCAAAATATGGTCAAAATCTATAATAGTTTCATCGAAGTGTTTTCTTGTACCTCCAATATGGTGTATGCAATTCAATAACGTCTTCGATCAATCAATACGACTCTGTTGTTTCTAAGTTAATGACTTGATCAAATCGTATCCCTGAATCACAACATCCTGAGCGATAAACCGCGCGTGTGAAGGGCGATTCGGCTCGGTATTGATCCAGCCGCCGTACCCCAGCCGATGAGATAGTAATACTTCATGTGGCGATCTTCGCTTAGGTTGACTGCCACCACCTTGCTCCAGAGCAGCAGACCCTCCACCAGCATCCAGCTAAACGCTGCCATGAAGAAGAGATGGAGCAGCGCCGCCACCAGTGTACAAGCCACCTGCAAGCAGACCAGCAGACAGATACACGTTAGGTTTCATTTCAGTGGAACAAACAAGAAAACTAAAGTCATTTTTGGTGGCGCAAATGCGGGAGAATTGGTTTATGGCACATTACTTTGAACGCTAATGTAAAGCTTCTTTTTTGGTAAAAATGTTAAATCAAAACATGCATGGGCAAAGGGTCCATTGTGAAAACGTTAAATGACCGACTAGATATTTTCTATATAAATGTGAGATTTATTCATACAGACAACTGTATATTTTTTATAGACCTATAAATAATGAAATCAATATTTTGTCCACACCATTAAAAAACGGAGGCACCTAGAGGTTATATTTCTAATAGATGTGTACTAATGGTAAGAAAGACAACATAACATTGATTCAATCCCTAAAGCTATTCTTATGCAAAGACAAGAATTCCCATTGAAGCATTTGATGCAAAAAACAAACTCCCTCTAGACTAATTAATCGTAAACAGCTTAGTCTATATGGATATTTCACTTTGCCTATTTACTGTCTTACTTTCGATCATCTTTGTCTCCAGTCTGCCAACGTTGAAAGTCAAAGATATTGGTGGTTAAAATGAGATGCCTGTACCTTGTTGTGAATGGCTGAGCCACTGCAGAGCAGAATCACCTGGGCGCAGATCAGAGCAATGAAAAGGTTCTTATGGATCGACGTTCTGTCAGATTTGGGGATACTATGGGCAGAACAAAGGGAAGACTTCAGATCTTGTCTTGAAATTAGATATGGTGAAAAAAGAAATCAAATTGATGACAAAAATGTAATCAAATAAAAGACAGTAAATCAAATACAACAACGTGCAAACGGCGGATTGAGTTAGCATGTCAACAACAGCATTATTCTGCTTCTGCTTGGTTGACAATAATCGGTACTCAGTTTCCAGTACCAGGACACAAACTGGAGTAATACAAAAGTGTCGATTTTGTAGATAGCTGCTGACTGTCTGTGTCAAAGGTTACAGCAACACATGCAGGAATAGTGAAGTTATTTGATTATGTATGTATGTTTAATGTGTTTGATGGACTGATGGAAGACACGATAGATCGATATTTCCATCGCTATGGTGACTAAAAATGTTATTATACAAGAGCCAAATGTGATTGACCATACCAATATTATTTTCTGTGTATAACCCGGGTGGCACTTAACGATTAGACGTATATGTGTTGAAATCACTGTCGTCCGCAGACGTTTGACCCTGGAGAGGCAGCGGTTTTTGACCATTTCTATGGTAATAGTTTGTTGTTGTATCTGCTCATGGTACGTTCATTGGTCAGTAGGAAAGACTGGGAGCGAGCTCCTTAAAAAATATATATATATGTGGCCTGAAACTGATCTGTTCTTTGCACATTGTTGACTGTATTGCCACGTCTTGTTTTCCCTTTACCTCCTATTGCTATTTCTCAACATAAGCTTTGTCTGGGAGATTTTAAAATATCACGCTGAATCTTGCAATTGGCCCTTTCAATTCTTTCAATTACTTTCCCAGCATGTTCCATTTTTTTCCTGTTTTGTAATCAATATTCTGCCAGAGGGCAGTGAATGTACGGCTCATCTCCCACATCACGCCACCTCTGGAAGCACATATTGTCTGATGGCATCAATCGGCAGCACATTTCCATTGACGCAAACATAAATTAAACAGGCGGCTGCATCTAGTTTAGAGAGGTTAATGAACCGGAGCGCCTCGCATTACCTCCTGATTGGTTCAGCCTATTTAGACTAATTTAATATCTGCATCAATGCTTGTGACCACCATCATTTCATGGTGCGATTACGCATCCATCTATGGACAAACGCACCCTGACGCTACTTTTGTCTGTACACAAATGCGTGTACATAATAGACCAGCAAGTGTGTGAAGCACATGGTTGCGCGCTCAGATTTCAGGACAGTCATAAATCGTCAGGGCAGCTCCTCTCCAGCCGATTGTGATCCCTCAATGACCCTTATGTTAATTAACATCTGCAGAATGCCGCCATAAACCTTCCGAGTGGACTCACACGCGGCAGCAGTAATTACTGGATTAGCACGAGTCGATACTCACAGCAGCCTCGGGCACAGAGCACGAGGTGTACAGTGCCAATAAGTTATCTCTCCATGTTAAGTGTGTGGGAAAGAGCGTCACCTCCAATGAGGAGGTGGGAAACACTCCTTTGCCTAGAAAGTGTTTATTGTTCATTGGTGCGAACAGAATGCTGTGTGTTCGCATCACGGCTGGAAGCGAGAACTTGTATCTATGAGTGTTATGAAATTAGTTAGAATACGGTCGATTGCTTTAATTGATTTCTAGCGCTTATTTATCGTGACTAAAGAAAAATTTGGAGAAAACACTAAACAATTGTTATGTTCCTCACAAAGAAATAGTCTGATAAAATCACTGAATGTGGACCCAATTTATTACGCATTTTGAAAATGCTATTATATATACATTCGAAAGGAAAAAGGGCTTTGAGGCTGAGCTGTGTGTCTTGACTCAAGGCAGATGTGTTGGCATCACAGGCACATCTGGTACTCACTCCAGCACAGTGAACAGCATCAAGGTCACCACCAGAGCACACAGGGACGCACCGGAGCCGATGAACGTCAGCTTGCTCAAAATAAGCTCTTCCTCGGGACTCCACTGGGACGGGAGGGAACGGGAACGTTGAGGGGAAGAAGAGTGTTAGGAACACATTTTGATCCAAGAAACTGAACTGAATACATTGGCGCTTAATAAATGTAACTACTACATGCTAAAAGGAAAAGGCGCCATTTCAAAAAGTGAACAGGCTGTTGGTGTTTGCTTGTAGTGATTGTAAGCATTCATGTACCGTACCTGTGTACTGTGCTACCAAATGCATGTTTCAGAAGGAGAAGCACACTGGGAGTGACACCTACTGGTAAATGTAGTGTACTACAAACAGCCATGTTAAAGATATCGGCAACATATACTGTGTGTTCTATTAGCCACACTGATATATTCTTTAGTATGCTGGACAAAGATTTAGCATGTCCCAATACATGATTTGTCAAACGCACAAGTGTTTGTTTTTTTGACTTTTTTTAAAGTAAATATGTAATAATAACAATAATAATGTCTTTCTCTTGAAAGTTAAGATTTATATCTAAACATAACACTGCGTTGCAAATTGCATACTTTTCCATTTTATTCGTAGTAACCGCAACTGACATTTGCCTTCAATTGGGACATCATACGTAACACTACACCACAGAGTTTAATCTTCTTGCTCATATATCAGAGTCATTTGCCCACAGTTTAAATTCAAGGTCATGGTCTTTTTCCATCATGCAGACCATCTTTTAGCACGTGTGCTTTAATTCACTGCATCAGACACATCTAAGGAGGTACCTTCGACTCCAGGTAATTCATCAGCACTGCAAAGTTGGTGGTGTGGTTACAGAGGCAGGAGGTGACGCCTGAGCCTGCAAAGGTCAGCCTGCAGCCATCACTTGACCAGCTGCTGCTTTGATTGTGCCTTAACAGCCCAATAGACAACCAACACACACACACACACACACACACACACACGCGTCAATCAAAGGTTTTAGAGAGATGATATATTTTGTATTAAATGTGAAGAATGAAATATGTGCAAAGGATTTCAAACCTGATAATCTAACTTTGGAAAGAAATGTTACATATGCATTTATAACATCTGCTTATCGTGTTCCAAAGTATTGGGAGACATTTACACACATTTTCACTATTTACCAGTCAACTTCAATGGCTAATGCAATGACACACATTTACCAGGGCTGCTTGTGTTTGTGTGACAGGGCTGTTGGTCAAACTTACATCAAGCTGAAGTTCCAAAAGGCACAAACAGGAGTAACTCGCTGTGAATACTGCACCTAGAAACAGAAGCACATGTTATCAAAACATTTGCCATAAAAATGGATTCTGATTCAATCCAGAGAGGAACGTTGCCCTGGTTTATGAGACGGACTGTACCACCTGTGATGAGGAAAGGGTGTATTTGATGGCTACGGGGATAGTTTGGGCCTTGGAGGCATCGCGGATGGTGGCTGATATGACGGCAGAAGCGAGACTCCTGGGAAGAGAACATGGTTACAATCTGCCCTTCATCACGTATACACAAAACAAACGTTAATTCCAACTACTGGTAATCACCGTTAGTATTATCCCTACATTATCAAAAATGATAACTGGAAAAGATAACTAGTAAAGCTTTTACCTGATTTCAATTAGATTTAATGTAATATTTATTCATGTAGAAACTCTGTCTGGTTCTAACAACTGATTTCCAGAAGTGATGAGCAATTATAAATCAAGTAAGCTGAGTTGTTAATAAAGAGCGTTATTGACACACTGTGAGTTGACTGTCAACGTCAAAGTGGGACTTTAAAAGAGGCAAACGTTCACCAACCTTCTTCCTTTCTCTTGGTGACTCAGTGGAGGCTCCTGCGCTCCCGACAAAATCTCACTCAGGTGGCTGTAGTGGGTGTGAATAAACATCACGTCCTCGTGTCCTAGAGAAGAAAAGGGGAGCATATCTGATTTTATTCAAACTATTTTTGCAGAGCGTAACTTTCAGTCACTTTCACACCTGATAGGTTGTTATTTACACATCTGCTCACAGATCGTTATTTTACAACTATGGATCCATATTCTGGAGTCATTTGGAGAAAACTACATTTTTTCTTGTGTTGTAATACATGTGTTTGACCTCATACATCTCTCCTCCTCTGTTGGGTTAACATGTAGGGCCTTTTTTCGTGTGTGTGTGTTTCCTACCCAGAGTGCGTATCCTCTGCAGCGCCGTGTCAGGGATGAGCAACTCGTCCTGACCGGTGCTGCCGGCGGAGTGCGAGCCGACTGCAGAAGGCTTGAACACTTGACTGCAGGTCCCTTCTGTCAGCTTCTGCCACTTCATATACACATCTGGAGGTAAAGACAGCAGGGGACCCACAGACAACGGACATGCCTTAACAAAACAAGTTAAACAAGAAATTAAATGAAAAATGATCCTTTAATTGCCTTTATTACAAACAAGAGCAAAAGGTCTTGGTGAACGCCAATTATACTTTCTAGACTTATCAGGGTATGGAAAATTGATTTCATGGATTCTGAACATTTAGTGACCACCATTCAAAAAGTCAGATTATCCTCTGCTAAAAAAAAAAAAAGAGTTACAAGATAACTGGGTTGTTTCCTTCGATACACAATCATAGACTTGGATCCCCACTGAACACAAACACATCATCTGTATTCTATTGGAGGTACATCAACATGTTTTATTTACCGATGTTCTTGGTAGAAAGAGTGAAGCCTTTCCTCTCAACAGACAGCACGTCAGCGAGGGTCTCGGTGAGTTTGTCAATACTACGGACAATAGTAAATGGTCCCACGTTGACCTGTGCAAGTAAGACAAACCCAAAAATGTAGATTCACGGAGGAAAAAAAAAAAGGAGCATTAGAGAGTATTGCAAAGACAATGAACGCAGGTCACCCCGTCCTCTGTCGCGCCCACCCACGGCGAAGCCACGCCAGGCTCCAGCATCAAACTCGCCGCCTTCAGGTAGTTGGTAGCAATAGACAGCATGACTCCTGCCGCGTCGGCTCCAGCCGGGCGAGGACCGGCGGCCTGCGCGGACAAGTCCGTCTCGATCCTGCGGGCGAAGTAGAGGACGTCGCTGGAGGTGAGGAGCGGAGGGCCGCCGGCCTCCAAGCCGCGCAGGAGCGACTGGGTCAGCTGCTGCAACGAGGCCAAATCACCGTCCAGGGACCCGTTGGCGCTCAGCTCGACCCTCACCTGAGGAAAGTGAATGGAGACAACGGCTTTATTTAAGCTTCACAACGCTGTGAAATATTCGGCGTCTTTGCATTATTCTCGGTATGAAGACTCGTTGGTCAATCAATGATGCGTTACAGGCAGCTACACTGTTCAACTCACAGCTTTGGTGAGATGCTCCTCACTCATTCTCCTGAAGAATGGTGTCTTTGGTAAACCCAGAACATGGAGCACTTCTGCAGAGACAGAGACCAAGTAGAATGAGGTTTATCACAGCACTAGCACAGACAGGGTGGGCGATTCCTGAGGATTCAAACGACCTTCGCTTTGCCGACGTAGTGTCAACACCAGTTAAACACGCCACATTCCGCACATCACTAATTCAACAGCGTCTTTAGCGATAAAACCATCAAATTCCATGAAGGATAAAACGCCCAACAATTCTTTAACGTCATCATTTTTGTACCTTTCTTAAACTGGCAGACGGCCCCCATTAACGAGTCGCACTTGGCTTGGCCCAAGCTCCCTACAACGGGGTCGAAGACGTCACAATTCTCATGAGACAAACGGCCGTGGAACAACTCAAAGGAGAATGTTTGATTCTGCAAAGCATTTCCATCCAGGAGCAAATCCGAGAAGGACTTTTCGAAGACAGTGACGTTCCCTAGTAACGGAAATGGTAAATGGTTTTCTTAAAAGAGGGACACATGAAGATTGAATTACATTCACACCGTCCTACACTAGAAATTTTCTTTTTTTTGTTCCCACTGCAACGAAACACAAAAGCACAGTCCTTGTATGTAAAAGCCCTCATGCACTCAAATGTGATTCCAGTGTTTCCACTAGCTTTCCAACCTCAGGGGGGAGGAGAGGGGGGAACAGTTCTGCTGACGGGGGAGAAGGTTATGTCAGTGTAGAGGGGTAGGGGGGGTGTTATAATGTTAGGGGAAACACTGGATTCTGGTCAATCTGATGGTGGCGTTTAGGCAACGATCGGTTTGTGCAAAGATCTGTCGTGGACAAGTCAAAGCTGTAGAGATAAAAAAGGCCACGGGTCTCGGACAAGGTCACGCTAGCCGCGTGCCGGCCCCCCTTGCATGGCTGCTGGTCAGAAGACTAGCAGTTACAAGGTCATTGAGTGGATCATTGAAAATGCAAAAATGAAACAAATGAACATCTACTCTGTAGATGGAAATCACTCGAGCGCTGCTACATTTTTTTGTGCCGTGTTCAGTTGCTGCAGGCGGAGTGAGTGTTTTAGGGCCTCGGCGCTCATCGGGGAGCATGATGTCACGGCGGGAGAAGTTTGTTTTGAAGGGAGGGATTCAGAGTGACGTGATTCTCTTAACATTTACGAGAACCATAAGGTGCCCGACACTATTCATTGAGGGGGCAGTTCGCAACAGAGACAGATTTCCTCTTTCCTTAATTAAATAAATATTTAATGTTTGAAAGGAAAGTACTGGTTGTGTGCATGTGAGTGTGTTTGTTTACTGCGTGTATGCGGGTTTGCCAAAGCCTGCTCCATAAGTTACGAAAGGATTAGTCCTTTTGTGAACAAGTTTGTTTGTTTGCCTTTTCCATCCAGTCATTTAATAATTAAATAACAGCTTCACATAGCAAAATATCTATGGAAGTATGAAGTATTAAGAGTATAACTGGATTAGCACATTATCCGCTGCTTTTATATTTATTCTAGTAATGTAGAAACAGGTGCACATAAAATCAATGTATGTGATATAATTAAAGCCCTTTTCTCCTTCTTGTTTTGTAACTCAGTTTAAACCAGAGACTGCAATGACGAGCTGCCAGTTTCTGGAACAGATCTGGACAGAGGTTGTCCAGATGTCAAGAGCATATCTAGTTGTATCAGAAATGAATTCACAGCATATATTTTTCTTGGACTCTCTGCTTGGAGTTTCGGGTGGGCGGGGCTTACGAAATCAGGCCAGCTCAAATCTGGGAATGTTACTGAAAATGACTTTTAAATGGACTCCACAGGATTGTTTTTTCCCCACCCAGCCTTGTTCCAAACTATCTAATCTGTAACAGTATTCAAAACGCTTAACTACACCACCGGACCACGCAGATAGATTTGAGTCTCTTCTTTTTAAACTATCCCTGTATCTGACGATGAAATCGGCTTTGATTTGAACATCTACATACTGTACGCTAACAAATGTACCTCGACACGGGATGTCTTTCCACAGCTTCGTGAGAGTGGTCTCTATTTCCATGGCCGATGCGTTCCATTTGAACACCAGCCCAGAAGAAATGGGTGAACACTCCTTTTCCATGGATTTCATTTCACTGGCGTTCAGCACCCGATCCCATATGTACAGCTCGGTGATACTCCCTGAGAATGACTCATCCTTCTTAAATGAACCCCCAAAAGTGTCCTGCTCCTGTCCAATAATGAAAAGGCCGTCGGGGCCAATGCTGCCAGAACTTAGGCCTTCGCCCTCAGAAACAAACTGGCCGTGGGTAAATAACGCCCAGCGTCCACCGCTCTGGTTCCAAGAAACGCACACAGAATGCCAGGAGCCGTCGTGGTGGAAGGCGTCTTGGTAGGGTCCGTAAGCGCCGTGGACCAGTAGAGCCAGCTGCACCGGTTTTCCCTTGACCAAGTGCCCCCGGAGCTGGAACTCATTGATGTTGGACTTGATGGAATAGGAGAAGATGGTGGATATTCCAAAGCAGTCTGGATCAAAGCGAACACGGGTGCAAACGGTCACGGCATCCATGGAGGAGAACGTGTGCCGGAGGCGGGCGTGCTTCCGGTCCGTGCGTCCGGCGAACTCCATAATCAGCGTCTTTGGGTAACCTCCGGTTTCACGCCCCACAGAGAAAGAAGAAAGAGGCATTGCTATGAAGGAAAGAACCTGCAACAGATGTAGTTCAACACTGTGGTCCTATTCCTAATGTAGACACGTGGGAAACATTTATTCCAGGTGTCTGGGACAAGAAGAACCACGCTCCTGCTATTTTAAAAGAAATGGTGCTCATAAATTCGTATAAATTGTCGAGACTAGCACAGCGAACCTACTTCTCATGACTTTCCAGACGATCCACACAGGCTGAGAGATGTTCAAGGACTTTAAGAAGTTGGTTAGCTCTCGCTTCTCTTCCGCGTTGGAGACCATTGCTAAGGCTTCAGAGCGCTGGTTGCACAGTTCCCCAGCGTTCTTCCACTGCAGGCGATCGGGGACGTACTCGTAGTAGGACTCGTCATACGTCAGGTTTCTAGTTTCCACAGTAAAGGCTGTTCAAAATAGAGAGAATGAGATTGTAATAATTCCGCTGAGGCAGACACGCTGTTGATCATCGGCACGTTTACCACATTGGCTGTGGGAGTTTGAGTTTAAGGAGATACTCTGAACCCGTTTGAGTTTTAGTTGTTTCAGCTGACTTTGCACGAAATCAGACGCAGTCAACAGGCAAAAAGATGAACTAGCCTGAATAAAAATAAGTTTTCTTATACTACTTGATACGCAATACTTGTTTTGCTTATTTAGGTCAAAACCGAGGTCAAAATAATCTCCTGCTGTAGTACCCTATGATGCAATAGTTATGGCGGCAAATCAGTCAAAATTCGAGAGCGCAAATCAGGTTGATGCGCGCGCGTAAATCAAACATCAGCGAGCAAATCTCCATCTCGCGCGAGCAAAAGTTCGTCAGATGTCATGTTGATCAGATGTAGATACCATGGTGACTGGCTCCGCCCCCTTACTGTCAAAAAGAAAAACAGCGAGCGCGTAGAAAACACCTTCGAGCGCGAGCAGAGACTGACCTCGCGAGCGAGGACGTTCACGTTCCGAGGGAGCAAATATCTTGCGCGAGATGAACTTTTGCTCGCGGATATTTGATTTACGCACGCGCATCAGCCTGATTCGCGCTCTCGAATTTTGACAGTGATTTGCCATAAATAGTGTTTAATTAATAAAAGTGAAACGGAAAGGGACTCACCCAATATACAGCTCAGGTGGAAACAAGCCTGAAACACAAGTACACGTTTAGCGCATTGGGTTAGTTATACCGCTCTTTATTAAGATGATAAAACAAAATACAAACAGATATGGCCTGTTTAACAGTATGTCTGTTATTATATTTGGGCCTGTAACATAAAACGTCTTTTACTTTGCAAAGAACGCAGTGTCCCAAATAATCCTTTTAATTGACTTCATAGCCAATCAAAAGCCAGTATTTGGCCCGCGTGCTATTCAATGGGGAAATCCAGGTTTTTAGCAGCACAGGATTTAAACAATGCAGATACGACTCTACTACGGGGATTATTAACACAAATACAATAAAATATCGAGAAAAAAACCGTAACGATTGGAATGGATAGAAACGTAAGAGGACTGTGGTTTTCATTACTTTAGCAGATACCGCATGTTTAGAAATCGACCATTCCCACGAGCCGCATCGCATTCCCTCCTAAACGTCCGTGGGGAAGATAAGTTAACGGGATGTTTGTTTAATTCCTGTTCCGCTAAAAGGGCGAAACCTGAAAATAAAAAGATGAACATGAAGTGCTTACCAGCAAGCCCATGCTGGGGGAAAATAACCAGAGCATCCTGAGGAGGACAAAAACGTGCATTATCCAAAAAAAGGAACGTTATTTGATCGTAGTAGAAATTCTAAGCACATTGGTCACACGTAAAACATCGCTCTCTTTTAACGTCTGTTAGTCTTCTCAGTAGAAACTTTTTCTTTGCGCGTCTTTTCATTCCAACCGCGTCGAGTCAGTGAACGCACCATTCAACCACTGAAGGCAACGTCTACTTATCTGGTTTTATTCCTCAAACCTTATGTGCAAAAAGGGTTATCAAGGTGTTTTGCTGTTGTCCGGTGTGATCCATCAGTCCGTCCTCAAAGTCAGGAGTCCTCCACAGCGCAAGAAGGGAGGATGCAGAACGAGCTGCAGCGAGGAGGAGCAGCGCAGCGGTGGGTTAACCAAAGTGAGGTTCGGGGACCTCCAGGGGGCCTCGGGGTGTTGTAGAAAAACGAGGGTCTTTCCCAACACCATAATAGACAACGTTATATGAAACCATTCACTGTTGCAGCCTCTTGATGAGAATACTACAACATTATATATATATATATATATATATATATATATATATATATATATATTTAAATCCCTATGAATAAATGAAAACAGTAAAATGTAGATCTTAGGGTTTGATACAGACCAAGGCTCATTCCTTCAGCTGTGAATTCAAAATGTATTATAGATTATGTGTATATATGAATGTCTTGCCGCTTCTCAACTAATTCAAATTCTGGTCATTATTCGTCTTTAACAGGATTCCACTGTTTATTGAATAGCATACAATATGAAAGACATTTTCACACACACAAAGCTATTGCATTAGCACAAGTTGACATATAAAATTGTATACCAAGTGATACAAGGAAATAAAACACCACTTTGTTGAAGTACCTACATATAATCCTCTCCTGAGTGCAAAATAGCTGCAATGTGTAATAAAATACATAAAAGTGCAAGTCTTTATGTAAATACAGGAACAATATAAAAGGCCTTCATACAAGATTAAAATCATTTACCGCATTGCATGGGGAGAAAACCTGCCAATGTTTTCAAGAACACTACCTGAGCTGCTGGACATTGAAATCTTACAGGTGTGAATAATAGAGTACAACAGAGAAGGCCTCATGTAAAACTACTAGACTAGAATTAAGAAGAAGCTACAGTTATTCATGAAAGGAACGACTGCAGTAGCTTCAAGCCTCCAAATGAATCAATTTTTCTTTACAATTGGAAAAACTGCCCGTAGAAATGTGCAGATATTGCTCACATTTGGAAAGCCGCGTTATTGTTTATTTTGTAACTTGGATGGCGACACTGAATAAGCCCGCAGTGTTTGTTGCTTGAGACTCCATGTTGGCGATACAGGAGTGTACAAAAAAAATACCCAGGCCATATGGTTTGTTACAAGCAGAAGTTCTCTCCGGATCAGAATTTCATTCATACAGTGAATCGTACATGATGGGAGCTCATCGTGAAAAAAAAAAAAAAGAACATGAATCACACCCAGTGCAGGGTGCCCTTTAACGACGCACCCGGAGGCAGACAGTACACTACCTTACTCACGACTCGATTTCTTACGGCACTGTGAGTTTCTTTTCTCAATGATTTATCCTCCGTGCCATTGTCAGGATCCACAGGGGTCCGGTTCTCTCCTGCAACCTGTTGGCTCCAGGAGGACAGGGACTGGAGGGCAAAATGAAGCTCGTCGCGAGCAGCCATGACACTCGGCGTCAACGCTTTTTCCTCGGACAGACCGGTGATTAGCTCACCAACGGCTTTGGCCGAGGAGGAGATCGTCTCTGTGCAGCTGCTGAGGTTGGAGTCGCTGTCTTTTCCTGGAAGGAGGACAACAGTCAGATCGGGGGGGGAGACGGCTCTGCCAGCCACGTCACCAGATAACCAATCAATCATCAAACCTCCAGATATTGTTGCATGGATAAGGAGCACGTGGAACAGAATGTGGTTTAAAGACACAATAATCAGAATGCTGCATCTTAATACCAAACTAAATAAACAAACATCCAGGCTGTGTGTGTGTGTGTGTCTCAGGAGCTTCACCTCGGAGGGCAGTAGATAGACAGGAATGCAGCTGTCTGATGGCCTGCTTCAGTTGGAACATCTTGGTCACCGTAGTCTTCAGTCTCTGCAAATGGGTTGCTGAGGCCCCCTCCTCATCCTCCTCCTCCTCCTTCCCCGTTTCTCTCTCCTGTTTGAAAACATGAACACACCCAAATAATGAATACAAGACGGAGCAAATAAGGAGGACAAACTGTGACGCAACCAACTATTACATCACCAAAAACTCTGAAACATACACGTCCAAGAACAGCAAACCACGGAACAACGCAGTAGACAATTATTATTAAATGTACTGACCCCTAACCCTCAAATTAACAGCTCATAGACATTTTGTATAACAAAGCCGAATCATTTTCCAGCGGTTAACATGTTACCACCTGATCTTGATATTCTAATTTAGGGTTCTTGCAGTTGACTGTTTCAATTCAGTTCAACACACACACAGACACACACACACACACACACAAATGATGTCACTGACTAATGCCGGAGCAGATTAAATGGGGCTTTCACTGTAATGTGTTCACTGACCTAAATGGCCTCATCCCCAGTTCCCTACAGTGCAGATGGAAAAATAGCTTCTCTAAACAGTTTTAACTACCGCAAATACAGTTAATGTGTAATCATCAAAAGTAAGGTTTATCTGATTTTTTATTTAAATAAATAACTTATGCATTCATATAATTACATCTTTACTACTACTCGAGAGCTGCACACCAGAAGGTCATTTCCAGATGCTGTGTTTAATGTCTTGCTCAAAACTGTTACTCAGCTTTATTTCACTACAATAACATTGTGGGCAGCAAAATACCCCAGTGCCTAGATGTGTCAATGATCAGTTTTAACAAAAAAAAAACTGCTACTTTGTGCGGCTAAGATAACAGCAAACAAGCCCGTTAGCGGTGACTGATGCCACTTCATTCAACACATTCATTACCTGAACGATCCCCAACGGGCAACTGCAGAGAGATAAGCCTACAGAGCATTGAGCTTTACAGGAGCAATAAAGGCTGAGTGGCATCTTTAACAGGGCTGCTGTGTGTGTGTGTGTGTGTTTGTTTGGGGGGGGGATTCTGTCTTTCAGGCACAGTTTACCCAGACAAATAATAGTAGTTTCTATGAGGCAAACGCAACAGTTACCCCAGAGCTAATGCAATATATTGAATTCTTATGTTTTGACAATTAATAAGTTCCCGCTATTCTCATCGCGAAGACGGCTGAGCTGCTGAAACTCACCGTGTGGCAATGCATGTAGTTCTGTAGCGCACGGGCTAAATCAGGCACCTTAGATTTCAGGCCCCGCAGCAGCTGTAAGTACAGATGGATTATCAAGGACAACTCTTCCTTTTAAGAATACCTACCTACACCTTTACGGAATTTGAATTATCAACACAAAATCGTGTAATATGACAAATGACTACTTAAAAAAAAAAGAAGTGACACAGTAGGCTTATGTTCTCTTACTGGGTTCCTTGGGTAGGCCAGTTGAGCCTCTCTCAGCATTTCCCTGCTGATGGAGAGGCTTTCCTCCAAGAGAGAGCCGACGCCCATGCTGGTCCCCCTCACCAGACACATGACAAAAGACTGCCGAAAAGATGATTGATAACAGAAATCATATATTTCAACTATTAGCCATTTATAACAAAACTTCCCTTCAGCATAAGTTACACAATACAATAAGTATATTCCTGATAATGAGAAGTATAGCCGGACTGATATGGGATGTTTAAAGCAGATGCTAACATTACTGAGAATTAAGAACAATAAATGAATAAATAAGATCAACCGAATGTTTTCCATTATAAAGAATATTCACAAAGACATATACGAAGCGGCACATTTTAAAAGGTGTAAACGGTTATTTCTCGCTTGTGAACGTAGCATTATGGGGAACACTAGAACACCTTGTAGCAGAGGTAGAAGCTGCCGCGGCGGTTAGCGTGATGTTACCTTGCCCGTGTCCTGGGGCCCCCCCTCCACAGCATTCAACGGGATGCCGGTCACCGCCGCCAGGTGGCTGAGTGCCAACAACGCTGCGTCCAGGCACTGGCTGCTCTTCCTCCGGGCCTCCGTCACCATCGAGGTGATCTCCGACTCACATCCCTGAGGGAGGGTGGGGGTGGTAAAGATTCCCAGTATCAGTCAACATCAGTTCAGCACAAATACTACAAACTAAACTCAGTGGTACATGTTCTGTGTTTACTTGAATGAGTAGCTGGAAGAACCCTCCCATCTTCTTGACTTGGCTCTTGAGCTCCTCAGCGACGTTGTAGAGTTGGCCGGAGGAGGGTTTAACGCTGGCCAACCACTGCGCGGTCACACGCACCGTACTCTCCACGGCCACCGTGGCCTTGACCAGCTCAGTCAGGGCCACCGAGTTACACAGAAACACTGCAGGAGAAAAAAGACACACTTAAAAAGAGATAAATCAAAACGAAAGTATGAGTGTGAGGCTGGAATCTCACCGTTCTCTTCACTGTCATCATCCAGACTATCGTATATGTCAGATATGGTTTGGACCGCCGCGTACATCAGGTGTAGATCCGACGCCAGCCTGTCTGCCATGCCGTCCTCCGTCCCGCCGCTGCCCCGCAGACGGGACACTGACTGACCAATCAGCTCTTTGCAGATGCCGGGCACGGCAGAGTCTATGCTGCGGGAATGAGTGGAGGGCGGTTTGGCCGCACCCATCAAACCTGGGACGAAGACAAAGAGTTGGGGTGTTAAACTCAGCTGTAACGCAGCAGCATTGCAATTATGTCCCAACATTTCAGAAATCTGAAAAGGAATTTCAGTCATTTGGTCCAGTGGCTTACCAGCAGACTGGGAGGGGCCGTTGTGGAGGCTCTGAATGGGATGGACCCGGATCTCGTAGAGACGGCCGGAGATTCTCCTACTTTTCAACAAGCTCCGGCTCCTGATGCCAAACAAAAAATAAGCAAAACCCTGAGTTGCCCGTTGATATTATTTAAGATTATGAGGCAGGTTTATGCTCTCATTCATAAGGACTTCAGTGTGTATTCTTATTCCTACAACCGTGATGGACAAACATCTTTTACACATTGCAGCTGAAGGTTTGTTCGCTAATTCTCTTTTAGATGAACCACTGTTGAAGTTTATTTCTCTCTGCACAGCCTGTTGTGTATCGAATTCTTTTGGATCTACTTACAGAAGCTGCGTGGTATATTCTTTTACACTGACCTTGCAGTTGGAGACAGGAGAAAGACTAGATTTCCAATGTCCTAACTCCGTTTTGAGCTACCGGCGCCCTTAAATAGAACGAGACTTTGCCCGTTGTATTCAACAGTAA